GAAAATAGAAATTTATGTCTGTCTGATGTGTTATAAAAATAAGATTAGATTTTTACATGATGACTATTTTTGATTATATTCTCTTTATTGATTCAATATTGTGTAATACATCCACATTTGATTTGTTCATATGGTGTGTTGTGGATGGTAAAATGATTTTTGAATATTTTTTTCTCAAGCCTAGTTACATTTATCATTTTTAGAGAAGCATAAATAGTTGATAGAATTGAATGTTATAATTTCTGTATCAAACAGAAGAAAATATGTTAATTTGTTTCATCAGTATACAAACTTGATTTATTCAAGAAAATTTACAACTCTGACTGAGTAGAAAACTATTTAATGGTACGATGTTCATTGTGACTTGATACTTACTTACTTACTTACGCCTGTTACCCCTCGTCGAGGAGCATAGGCCGCTCACCAGCATTCTCCATCCAACTCTGTCCTGAGCCTTCCTTTCCAGTTCTTTCCAGTTGCTATTCATCCTTTTCATATCGGCTTCTATTTCCCGGCGTAGTGTGTTCTTTGGCCTTCCTCTTTTCCGCTTCCCTTCCGGATTCCAAGTTAGGGATTGAGTCGTGATGCACATTGGTGATTTCCTTAATGTATGTCCGATCCACTTCCAACGTCTTTTCCTTATTTCCTCTTCAGCTGGAAGCTGGTTTGTCCTCTCCCATAAAACGCTGTTGCTGATAGTATCCGGCCAATGGATGTTGAGTATTTTGCGTAGACAACTGTTTATAAATACTTGATACTGCGTTATTTATAATTCAAAATAGTGTTAACTTCTTCATTACTAATCTGTTTAGTAAGGAGGTTCTTTCCGATTAAAATAATTGGTCAAATTTCAATAGTTTTACTACATTTACCTTTGCCTCAAGATGTAATCTGAATTCATATATATATATATATATATATATATATATATATATATATATATATATATATGTATATATATATATATGCAGTTGAACCAATGTTAGCCTGTGATGAAAACTAAGTTCAAACTGAGGATTTATCATTGAAACTTCTTGTATTTTTAACATTTTTCACTCAAATTGTGTCTAAATTGATTCACATCTATTGAGTTAAAGAATGGCGGATTGTGACATAAAATTTTTCAAATGTTTTTTCTCCATTTTACTAGTAAATAAACTGCGTTAGTTACATTTTCAGTAACGACATTACTAATTTCATGTGAAACATTATTTGAAAAAAACTATTTGATGCTCTTCATTTACCTACAGAATAGACGGAGGCTATTGGATCTATCACAAAATCACAGTCGGACAATCACAACTGTATTTAGTGATAAATTCATTGGTTTACAAGTATCTTAAATTCTACATTTATATCTTATTTCATTGATGGTGTTTGAAACAATTTTCAGGTCTAAGTGAAATAAACATTCAGGTATGTTGAACAAACCGCAATAGGTTTTTGGGATGTTTTGATAAGAGCATTATTGACAATGTATGATATACCATATTTTATGAACGTTTTTCATAGGTATTATAATGTAAACTAAATTTCTTAAGTCATTAAAACTTTCTCGTTTCTCAGGGAAACTGAAATAAACATGAACATTTGAACATGTTTTCAAGTCTGAAAGAAAGGATGAATTGTTTGTTTAAGTATCCTCATTAACTCAGTGAGCAAGAATGACATCCACAACTATGGAATTTTCGACTACAATAGTAATAATTTTTTTATTCACAAAAGACGTCGTATAAAATCATCATAATCAGGGAAAACGACACGGAAACACGAAAAATTTGTTGAAAGTCGGTAGCTCATCAAATGTAAACGAATTCAGATCAGACTATACTAATGAATTTCCAACATTATTTCAGACCACTTCGCATCCATGAAGGATTAACACATTGCCCTCATATTTCAGAAAATTAGGACTTTTACATAAATCTTCTTGAATAATTATGGACAATAATGAAAATTGATTAAATAAAATAAGTATAAATTCAACTTAGTATTGTTTGTTTGAATCTTCCATCTCTGCTAAAATAAGTATAGTTAACAAAGTTTTTCGTCGCACTTCATTAGATTAACTGAATTACATCACAGTTCACTACATCTTCAGAATTCAGTAGAAACCAATGAGCAATTATGAACTTAATTCCCATTTTTCTACTAACATTTTAACAATCTATGGATGTCAATTTTTTCGCTTCAACGCTTTTTAAAGTTATTATCTGTACTACTTAGTTATTAAACAGTAGCCAAATTCTGTAAAATTCATCTTTCTAGTGGGTTGTTGTGAATAATTAAACGTTTAATATCAGAAGGGGGTTTTGTGGATATTATTGTAATTTAATAGTTGAGATCATGAGTTGATTGAAGCTAGACCACCATGGAAAACCTGGAAGCAGTGGACGGCCGTTTCATTTTATTGTGGGACTCTTTAGCAGCGCTGAAGACAATGGTGGATGTGTAGCTCAATTTTGTTGATTCGTTGAAGTTAGACATTAACACCGTTTGATGCCGGAATAGTTGTCTAGAGGTTAAGCATTCGTGTACAAGACCGATAGGTTCTGGGTCTGAATCTCACGAGACTGGATCGTGGATGCGCACTGTTGAAGTGTCACACAATATGACGAAACGGCTATCCATTACTTCCAGGTTTTACATGGTGGTCTACCTTCAATCAACTCTTAATCTCAACTAATAAAATCAAATGTTTGCCAGAACTAAAAACGATCTATTAAATGTAATCTGTCTTTCTCAATCCAAATAAATTTTGTGAACATATGGTGTATATCAAAAGCCTGATATTCACGCCTATTGTGATTACAATTACTCTCCGTTTATCTTTCTGCTCTCTTCTATTCAAACTTCTATTGGCAGGCATTCCACATCCGATTTCTTCTACATGCTAGTTATATCTGTCAGCATGTGTGATGTACACAACACATTTAGACTGTTCTTGTTTCTTTTTATTTGACTTTGAAAAAATATTTTAATTCTAAATGAAAATTTATTACATCTATTGGTTTGAATATCACCAAACGTATCTATCTCAAATATTCTTTATGGAACAGTAAAACATCAAGTGGTTCTATAGCATTGATTAACGACTTTTAAAAACTGATATACTCAGAGAACTCCTCACAATTGGGTAGGCACTGTCTCTGGTATATTCGCTCAGAAGTTATTATTGCAAAGAATCAAACAAAGTATTGAAAGCAAAATACAAAGTTACGGAATATGGATTTTATAAAAAAAGGAGTACATTATTTTGAGTAAATAATCAATGTACATATGTAGTAGTTACAAACCATATGGTACAAAATCCAACTTGTACAATCAGTCAAAATGAACAAACAAAACATTAGTTGACAAAAGTAGTCAACAATAAAACAATCTATGACACAAACGGATCATTAGAATGAAAAAGGATGAAGTTTGTTTTGTTCACCGCTTTTTACAGTTTACAAGAACATTTTATTCGAAATTTTAGCTATTGTACTACGGTCGACTGTCTATAAAAATTATTGGATAGGATAGAGACGATACTTCCTTTAGTTGAAGGAGCAACTACGGTATAGCTTTAAATCAGTGTCATCAGATAAATTACAGCACAGTTATTTCTATCTTATCACCACAATATAATTGCTCCATCATAAAACTAAAGTGTGGGATTAGAAGGGATCTACGTTCAGATGATATGACTCAATATTCGAGCCGATAGAAAGATATTTATTGTAGGTGTATTTGTAATAATGGACGGAAAAAAATTTAATGACCCACAACCGAGAATGACCTCAAGATATAGATTAATTTAGTGACCGTATAATCTCAGTTGTAAAGTGTAAACTAACTTTTGGAAGACATAAGCCTTTTGATTCGACACAAATGAACTAATGATCACTTACCATTGAACAGAATAGATCACAAAGCCACAAGCACACCAAAGGAAGTAAAGCAGAAATGGTAATGAAAGTGATCGAGCGAACACAATGGCGAATTGAGAGTCGAATCAACTAATAAAATTCAAGCATATATATAAATATATAACGACGCCTGTAGCTCTTCTACGGCTATTGCTGGTCGCAAGCCCTGGTGAAGAAAGAGAGTAGGACGTGGTCTCGGCAAGCACATCCAATTGAAAATAATCCTGCTAAAAAACACTAACCAGAATAAACAATTTGACCCATTTAAAATCTGCCCTGGAAGTTGAAGGAAGAATTATGACGCCTCATGTTGACAGCCGAGATTCTTCTGAAGCTACGGGGTTAATGACCTTTCTAACAACCAGAGTCCACATAGGGGAGTTGGAAAATCCTGATTCCAAACCAATGGTACACATGAACTCCAGTATCCTGGAGGAACAAACGGCGTATGAATCAATCGTTGGTCAAAGACTACCATGGGACTACATCTCCTCACGATACTCCACTGCCTTGTGGATCAGGCCTCTAGGTCAAGGGCTCCGTGTGTGGCCCCCTAAGGAAACCGCCTGCTTCAGTTTGGGCACCTGAGTAGTATCACAATTCTTACACAAATGAAATGAGATTTGTGTGGCGCATATATATCTGATGTCTTTTTGAACCAATATTTATGTGTTTAAATAAATAATAGATAAATAAACATTTAATGTTATTATTTATATCAATTAGATTATGCCTGTAGACTGGTATGAATTCTGTAATAATTATTTTCAGAATACATTATATTATTATTACGATAATTGTATGCAGTTTTAATCAACGAAAAATTCTCATCATATTAAAACATATCTGATCAAAGAATATTCTTTTCAATAAATTTTCTCCAGGCCCTGCGATCATATATCCAAATTAATAGTCCAAATATTGGCGAGATCTAAGGCGAATGAATCGTTTAAAATCATAGCATATGAATTCAAGATTTTTCGTTATATAAAATAAAATTTTCAAAACCTTTGGAAGACTTATGATAATAATAACAATAATAATGGCATGTGAATAAGTTTAAGCTATGAAAACGCATATAGGGCTGTACGAATATTTATAAAATTATGTCAGTATTTTATTAAAGTGTTTGTTTACTAATTAGGCCAGAAGTTGGCCATTGTAAAAAGAAGTAGCTGAACATATTTCCTCTGTATTTAAAACTCCAGCTTTCTGATCTGGACAGTTGTTGCTTTAGCCATCTGAAGGACTCATGGCCTGATGGTTTCAGGCAGATAACTTTTAACAAGATATGCTGTTGTAAATGATTGCTCCATATTGACTCTATGGCCTGTTAATATTAAATGTGATAGAATCGAGCTATTAAGAGTTTTAACTGTACCTTTTACTTAACCACTCTGAAACGTCCTCGCAAGCATGAAAATACAAATTCCCAGAAAACCTGCCAATATAACTTGCTCCACACGAGGAATTTACTTAATTACAATATTCATAACCCAATCGACACAAAATCAATCAAAAAACTTATAAAATAGGAATTTTATTTAAAAATCTATGCGAAATAATTGTTTTGTACAAAATTCGTCATGGTTATGTTAAATTTTAAACAAATTCAATACTACTACAGTAATAATAATGAAAGCAATAATAATAATGATCATTAAAAGACATAAAAAGTTACAAATTCAATAGCTGGTTGATTTGTCATTGCATAACTATAAGGATTAATTGATGCAAACCATTCCGAATTTTTTGTACGTATTGAGTAAACAGAGCTGTCTGAATAAATTGTCAACACAATGTTTCTATCTGTAAACCCGACAAAGAAGATCAAATGAAATACATATAGTTTGTTGTGTATAATTTCCCTACTGCTATAAGCTAATTCAATTATGCGGTTAACAATCTCTAGTTAAACTAAATTTTCATTATTTTTTTAAATTGGTAATAAACTAAATGACGATATATGGAAGAAGAATGTTTTTTGTTATTAACCTAAACTGTTAGGAGTTAAAATCACTAGAATAATAGTGAATTCTATATGCTTTTCAGTTGGATTAGCCAATAATTTTTCAGCTTGTAAAATATTGCTAGTTTCAAGTAATACTACTTATAAGTAGCCCAATATATAGTGAAAATAATTTTATGACGTAAATCATCTACCAGTAGACAATGTCAACACCCGATTTAGTAAACCAAGTTGTTTGAATAGAAATAAAAGAAAATGTTTAATCTCTAAAAAGTAAAAGTTTTCTAGTCAGTTTTATGTTCTTTATCTTTTATAAATATAGTTATATGAGCTCATTATCCCGAATAAGTTTTGTTCAAATTAAAGATTTATCATTGATGTCTTTTCATAGCCATAAACAGTTTTATCGAAAATGAATCATCGTCCGAAAAATCCGGAGAGAGTCCGGAGATAAAACTACGGAAGAAAAATTCTACTCACCAATATTGATACAGAGGAATCATGAGTACAATTTCTCATATATTTTAGCATTTTCATATCACTACCTCATCAATTATAAGGCTTACTACTACTAAAGTGATTTCTTTGTAAGTTTATGATCAACAAAGTATACTCAAACAGGATCTGATTGGTTTACATTTTATGTAAGATTTATACATAAAGCATTGCAAACTTGATCCTTTTTACATTGTCATTTTTACAATATGATAATAAAAAGAATTTTTCCTAAGAATTTAAGGCGTTTCTGACACTATAAAAAATTATTTTTATATTTCATTTTATGTGATATAAAATAGTAACTCATTTTTGAATTTTATTCGATTCTGGTTCTGACTACTTTTTTCATTCACTTTACCATTTTTGGCTAAATATCTTATAGTTATTATTTCACATCGCCCTGGTACGGCTGAGAGTGGTGAGATTCCGCTCATCCTTGCGAAATACTCCCACTTGACCACGCGTATATAGCCTCTGACATGAATGTACTACTCATTGCCTTCTCGTGACATTACTGTTGTTTACGAAATTGAGAGGACGAAAAGCGAATGTCCGGAGCTTTAACCGGGTCGATGGATATGGAAGGTTCACCTAGGGGAGTTGGAAAACCCTGATTCCAAACCAATAGTGTACATGATCTCCAGTATCCTGCTGGAACAATAGCGTATGAACCAATCATTGGTCACCGACTACCATGGGACTGCATTTCCTCATGGTGATCTACTGCCTTGTGGATCGGATCTTTAGGTCAAAGGATACGGGTGTGGCCCTCTAAGAAAACCGCCTGCTTCAGTTTGGGCACCTGAGTAGTATCACAATTCTTACACAAATGAAATGAGATTTGTGAGGTGCATATATATCTGATGCCCTTTTGTACCAATATTTATGTGTTTAAATAAATAAAATAATAAAAAAGTAATTAATACATCAATTACTGATTATAACAGTCGAATGAATATACACAATTCATTTTTATTCATTAATAAATGGATCACTAATATTTATCATTATTTTCAAATCACAATATCGATGTTTACCGTTTAAAAAAAGAATTTGCATTTAATAAATAAACAAAAAATAGAAATGGGCGGAAAATTATACAAAAATTCTAGGCACCTATGAAATTTTTTTTTACTAAAATAAACTTTAATAAATATCTATAATATTACTGTTAACGAATAATCAGCATGCTGAAGATTAATAAAAAGTAATTTTATTCAGCATTAAAAATATTAACATTATGCCTGCTTCCTTTTTTTAATTGACATGAATATAAAATTAGGTAAGGTACGGTAATGTTAAATAAAAATGGAAGAGATGTGTTTTGTTTTGTCTTTTCAATTCTCATGTGAATTTTTAAAATGAATACAGTCAAATTGATCGATATTGATTTTGATAAAAATAAAACAAAACAAGAAAGATATAAGAATTATTTATTCTCTGTGGAAATTGTTTAACTGGTAATGAATAGATTTCATTTTCTTTGTAATCTTATTTAAATTGGCTGTTAGTAAATCAGTTCCGATTATAAACTTTATTAATAATTATCTAATCAGAGATGAAAGTAGTATCATCTTATTTATTTATTTATTTGAACACATAAATATTGGTACAAGGAGGTACCAGATATATATGTGCCCAAACCGAAGCAGGTGGTTTCCTTAGGGGGCCACACCCGCAGCCTTTGACCTAAAGATCTGATTCACAAGGCAGTGGAGCATCGTGAGAAAATGCAGTCTCATGATAACCGGTGACCAACGATTGATTCATACGCCGTTTTTTCCCTCAGGATAGTGGGGCACATGTGCACCATTGATTTGGAATCAGGGTTTTCCAACTCCCCTAGGTGAACTTTCCGTGTCTACCAAACCCGGTTAAATCGCCGTACATTCGCTTTTCGTCCTCTCAATTTCGTAAACAACAGTAATGCTACGAGAAGGCAGTGGGTATGACTTCTGTGGCAGAGGTTATATACGCGTGGCCATGTGAGAACATTTAAAGAGAGAGAGCGGAATCTCCTCACTCTCAGCCGTACCAGGGCATTTGGGGGCAGTATCATCTAATAATTATTAATTATTGATCATAAGTCCTTTATTTACACAAACCCCAATGGAATTATCACACACGTTTGAATTAGTAGAAAAATATATAGACATAAGATATTGTTTGCTAAGTATTGATAATTATATATATAATGTAAATAAAAAAACAGTTTGAACCAGGAAATACTTTGTTATTATTTACAGTGAAATAATTTAACGACTAACATTAATATCTACTATGAATACTTCTAAACGGATAATCAAACTACGATATTAATTGATTCAGTGCAGTTTTTGTTTACCATGAAATAGAATCATTTTAAACCTAAATATAACCATATTCTAAAATGTTAAACAGAATTTTGTAAATATGTTTATAACATGCCCTTCACTAACTAATTTACCTTAGGCAAACATATTTTCTTTTCATGTAGTTTATCCTACAATAAGATATAACTCATCTTATAAAGATGACCTTAATGTGAAAATAGTTTATCTTACGTTAGTGAAATGTAAAGTAACCAAAATGTAAAAAAACACCCTGTGGTAATTATCAGTCTACATACTCTATTAGGAATTCGGGTGTTATGTTTTATTTAAAGTTTAAAATCTTCATTTGTTTCTCAATGAATAAATAAGCGGTAACTCTCAGTAATTATTTATAGACTATTATATATATATATATATATATTTTATTTAAACTGCTGAGCTTTAAAATATAATTCATTTCTAAGTCAGTTCGATTTCATTACAGACTCACATTGAAGCAAAACCTAACTAATTAGACAGTAATGACTACTCAACTGAACGACAACTGTTAGGACGATGGAGAGAAAATAGGTTACAGAGGAACAGTTGTAAGAACATTATTGTTAAACAAATCAGCTAAGAACATGACCAAGCTAGACGGTTACATTGATGATACACACAAAATCAACATATGTATGCACGAACTAAGTATTAGTGTTGAGTAAGGTTTTTAAAGTTGGAAAAATAAATATTTGGGGATACTGTGTGTGAAGCATCTTTGAAAGCCCAAGTTAAAAATGTGGAGTGGTTTTAGGAAATATATCCTGCACTATAGTATTTGTCTAATCACTGGTTAATTTACTAGTTGAATCGTACCATGTTTATTCATGACAACCATTCATTTTAAAAGATAATAAAAAGCAGTGTCAAAAGTCGCTTATTGTTAATCTACGCTATACAGCATGTTATTTACGTTCTTAAATGTGGTTTCCTGGAAAAGTTACATATGTAGTCATAAATATTCAAGTCTACTTGAAATCGGCTACTTATATAAGTTCTTTTCACTTTTTATCGAAATTCCGAATTGTTTGGAAACGCCTGTTATCCCAGACTTTTCAGGCAGAAAGAGTGATTATTAATGAGCTAAATTCATAGTTTAGATATGATTTGAAGTCACTTTGAGCTTTCCATAGTGAGCTACAATGCTCAATTGCAATCCGTGTTTAGAATCCAATTCAGTGTGATATTTAACTGACCTATGAGCAAGAGGTATGTATGTAATTAATGGAATCCCAACAAACCGACTAATCAGATACGTCATTTTAGCTCGATGAAAATCGAACTATCTGGAAGGAAAGTGTAAGCAACTAGTTATTATTTCAATAATTATTTAGAGTGATTTTTTGCACAAGGCTGTTGTCAAAAGTTGCCTAAACTAGAACCACTAATGTTCATATTATAATGCTAAGTCATTTTTTATTTGATGTTAAACTTTTATTTATTTAGGTAAATTTCGCAGCCAAACTAAAATAATCATAAATCTTTGAAGTGTATCACGTATTTTATATATGGAAAAAGCTTGTTAAAAGAACCCTGTGAATTCTCTCACTTACTAAAACGACGACATTCTGTGTTATCTCCTATAAACTTAAAAAGCTAATAATACAGACAAAAAACATTTTAATTTTTTACACATTTCATGAGTGTACTTCATTGAATCTATACGGCTAGGATAAAATGGAATGAAAAAAATTACCATTATTATCAATATAATCTGACTCCAAATAAAATGAATCTTTCAAATTCAAGTCAGTTTCATTTGACTTTTGTTTGGTGTCCATCATCATATGGTTAATAAACATGTCAATCATATTGTATGGTTATATTATCTCTATGTCGTAAAATATAAAGATTAAGATTATGTATTTCATCAATAATTTTTCTATCCCATAAATGTAATCACTTCAGAAAATATATATCAGATTGTTTTTTAAGTGTTTAGGTTTTCAGTTTGCATCGATTATGTAACAGCGAACTCTCAACCCGTGTAATACAGTCGAAACGATAGAATTTTTTAAGAAATACTAAGGAGCTGAATTTTTAAAAAAAATTATAAACCTATGTTTAATTTTTTGTTCATGATTAAAAACTTATCGTTCTAACTAACTAGATATAAAAACTACCTAGTTGTGATTGAATCTTGAATAAAGAAAAACATTTTGACGTTTTAATGAAGAATGAATTAGTGCGAAAAATCGAGAATCATATCTAAGCCTCTTCGTTGTGATTTATAGCTAATTCTATTAAAAGCTATTAACATACATCAATTTCTCGACTACCCTCAAACACTTCTGAATAAATATCGATAAGAAATAAGTATAATTATTCGCATAATATTTAGTGGTTAAAACAAATTGGTAAGAAGTTCTTAACTTGAATTTCATGCTTGTTTACACTCATCAGCACGACGTGTATCTACAATATTTTCGAAACTGTTACTGTTCATAAAATCCAAACAATCATCACTAAGTATTACAGTCAAAGAAATTAACTCTGAGGTATTCAGTTTATAGATGATCTCCAACAGATATGTTTCATATATTGTGTGCTATATTGAATGATTTGTTTTATCACTGATTACTATTTGTAAAAAAATTAGATTAAAGTTGATTCAAATCAAATAAGACAGTAGAAAAAAAAAGTAGATAAAACTTTAAAGTGCATAAATAGATGGACTTTTATATAGAAACAATAAAGTACTTCTAGATATCATTACCAAATTTTGATTTGATAATTTTGAGTAGAAAAAAAAAATTAGATTTTCTGACATTTCGTGATTCAGTGTAAACCTTTTCTTAATTTTTTTTTCTATTTCATTTTTTTAGAAAATAAAATGTGACTAATGAAATACTTTTAGTAAATAATTTACATAATAAATAATATTAAAGTATAAATTTATTCAAATCTGTTTAGTCAATAATATAAAATAAAATAACACATGAGATTTAATTGTCAACAATAGAAAAATAATGAAAGAAATTTACTTAATATAAATAATAATAAACTTTCTATTAAATAATAATTGTGATGAATATATTTATTGGTACCTTTTTTGTTTTGTTTGTTGAAACCTATCAATCACTTATTATATATATAGAAAAGTGAAGTTTTCAGTTCTATTTCTATTTCTCATTTATTTCATATCTTATTATTTAATATCTAAGATGAAATTACATATTTTTAACTATTCTGGTGGTACAACTCTTGATGTTAATGATTTAATGATTAATCTCTATAAATAGGAAAACTGTACTAATAGTGAGTTGATTTTTGTGACATATTCAGTATGGAACTAATCAGTTAAATAGCTTGTAAAAAAAGAATGTATTTTTTATAGAATATAAGGTTAAATGTTCCCTAAACCCAACAACAGAAAAATAATGTTGGAATTAACTGAGAACCAGTATTATGTACAAATAAGAAGCAAACTACAGCCCATAGGGGATTTTTCAGTGCGATATGGTAGGTAAACTACTGTTGTAAATAGATAGATAAATGCAAATAAGTACTGTTTACAAAATTAAATTAATTACCTCGTTAGCTTAATCGTCTGACCATTGTTTATGAATGTATTAAGAATAAAAGAATTGAACTAGATGGGCATGACATTGGTTACCGCTCAGTGATCAATGTTAGTATTTCAGTGTTGGAGGATGAATGTCATTATCACAGTGGCTCAGCAGTAACGTCCAAGATTGTGAAGGTTGGTGGAGCGCATCTGAATTCTAGGGAAATCGTCAGTTCCCTTATGAGATCAGACATATCCTTCTGACGAGTGTCGACTATCGCGAAGCCTATGCCCAAAGTTTCTTGTAGACTTATTCTAGCAATCTAATATCAAAACATAGTGACAGCTTACTTAAACAAGTATCCACATTATAAATGGATCAGTAGAATTCAATTAGTACCAATGAACTGGACAGACATGATGTTATTTATTATTCAGTGATAAATCAGTGCAAAGAATTAATCATTTGATGAGTGTTCGTCGTTACCTACTATCTATTAAAAACCATTGAAATTAATGAATTCTGGAGGTGTGCTTTGTTCTATTTTTAAATCCTCGAAGAATGTTTTTTTGCGGGATGAAACCCACTTTTAAATTTGCATCAGTTCATCAAACTAATAACTTGTGAGTTCGCCTTCGTTAATCATCTACATGCTTAATTACTGATTTACGTGATTAATTGAAAACTTTTTGTCAGTCCGATGTCGACAGTCAAAGCTAGACAACTTTGAGTTGCTGGTAGAAACAAAACACTTAAAGTATCCATTTAATATTTCGTATTTTGAATTAGCGTACAAACAATGATTACCTATTGTTTGTTAATACATTTTTATCAGGACAAAGGACATATTTATTATAAACTAAATTGGCAAATACGCGCTGTATAAACTCTTCTGAACTTAAACATTATGTAATACATTTACTATTCGTTGGAAAAACCAACGAAACTAAGAAATAATTGAAAACTGTGTAAAATAAGAAACATTACCTAAAAGAAAAGTAATATCTGCTAGGCTCTCCGAATTGATACTGATCTTGACCTGCTATATTTTTGAGGTGATGTACATCGACACACATTCTGACAAGAATATTCATGATTTAATAAAGCAGCAGCTTTATCTTTTTGTGATGCTGCATATATTGGATTACGTGTACAAGCTTCTCCTTTCACTAAAATACATGCTTTAACTGGTTTACATCTATTAGTTTTACCCACATTTGTTGATTGAAATCGCTGTTGAATTTCAGTAGGTCTTTGATTATATAAAATTAAACATGGCCAAATATAATGGTGAACTTGACCAGCAGTTGGGTCTGAATCATAACTTCTTCGATAACTTAAAAATAAAATAATGAAAACAAAATACAAATTTTGGATTAAGTAATAAATATATATCGATTCTTATTGTATGATTGTTTACTAAAACAATATGAACAGACTGCGTACCATTCGTCACTGTATGGATCCCCAGGTTTGGCAGCTTTGTCCACATCTGCATACCAAGTAGATTGAATTCCATTTGATTCAATGTCTAATTCTGAATCCTTTTTTCCAACCAGTAGGTGCCAAGCAAGACAACAAACTTCCCTTAGGAGGTTATCTAGAGCAGTCAGTTCCTGAGATGTCACAGGTAGTCTTATGGAAATAGGCCGTTTAACACTTGTGCCATTTATCGAAGTAATTGTAGTATGACATGCGCATTCTGGTGGAGCATGACGTGAAAGACGCCTGAATGTTGCAGCTACAAGTTTATCTAACTGATCACTATTCAGCGATATGTCTGAAGCCGAGAATTGTCGCTCACCAACATTTCTTGACATATAATTCTCTTTTTGCGTACCAGTGGGAAGACGGTGGATCACATGGCTGGTGACACTGAAACCAGCCTAAAGGTAAATAATGAAGTTATAAAAATAGTTTTATAGTTGATAGCAAAGTTCATAGATGACAAATGATGAAAAGTTTCGTGATAATATGACAATTCATTTACAAATTACGTAGAACATGAAAACCAATAGAATGTGAATTATGAAGAGCCTAGTAAACTACCGAATCGAGCAAGAGGTAAAGTTGTTGACTTGCAACTTCAAAACAAAATCAGCATTTACAAACCATCTAATGGTGGTAGCACATCAAATATTGAGGTCCTCAAACCAAGTTTTTTACCTAGTTTAGAATATGAGCTACTGTTGTAGAGTTTTCATATGATGTATTCACTATTTGTCTCACCTACCAAACCTTGATGTTTTCAACATTGTTACTATAACGACATATTCCTTATGCTATAATGCCACCAGGGATTCCCAGTCGAAATAATGTTAATTTAATATACGACTAATAAGCTTCATTTAACATACATTCCTTAGGGTTGTATAAAAAATGTGATGATGGTTTTAAAAAGCAAAATGAGTGCTTAGATTCTAGTGACAATGAAATCATAACTCCATAAAATTGAAACATGTTCATCACCAGCACTGCACTTTAGTGTAAATATATTGCTCCAAAAGAATGGCGTTATGCCATGCGAGACACATCAAAAGCTTTGAATAATATTTTAAGTGAATTAAAAATCTCAGTTAACTTTTATTACCTAACCAGTGCATGAAATAATACCGACTTTGATGAATTTGAATAATAAAAATATATTGTTTGGTGGTTCAGTTATGAATCTGTTATTCACTAATGAAAAACCATAAAACGTCTGCTATTTTCTTAAGTTGTAAAATTAAGATGTCAATGTAGTAACACTTAAAAGGGACAATTCTACATTATCTTAACTATACGATAGTCAATCATCAGATATATTTCAGTAAACACTGATATTTTAGTCGTTATTTTACCGGGCCCTATATGAGGAAGAATGTTAAGTAATAATAGCCCTAGAGTTTGATAAACATCTCTCAGAGCTTATTTGGAGTATACTTACAGAAATGTCATTTATACCGTTTCGTTGTCAAAGCTAACCAGTTGCTTCCAGTAATTAATCTTATAGAAAAAAGGGTTGAGTGTAATTTATATTTCCCATGTAATAAATATAGGTTTGATATTAATGGTCGTTACAAAAAGCATTTGTTTTTTTCATACTGTTTTTTTAGTGATTAATATTAAGTGCAAACCTATAAGGGATTAAGAAGCAAACAAACAGTCAGTATTACATAATCACACCTTAGAAACATTCAGTCGAAATAAACACTAGGGTGACATTATTCCAAAAATAACATATTTACATGAGAAATGTGTGGTATGTGAGCATCATTAAACGTAACTGATATACCACAATACTTATTCTCCATCGATTTTGTCGGTTACTTTCTTACAAATTATTTTTTCCTCACCAAATAATTATTACCTGAACTTGTTTGTTGTACTACAAATTGCTAACGTATCTATGCGAACGCCTAGCGAAAAGATAGGTGTGTCTTATACTAGACTCTTTTAAGGTGAATCTTAGTTACACTATCTATTATACATAAAACGTTACGACAGACAAAACGGTTCTATTAGATCAAAAAACAATACATTCTGTGACTATTCGATTATTCCAAATGTTTATCCTCGATTTTCAAATAGAAAAAATCAAAATGCCATCTTTATTCCACACCCATTAAATTAAATTCAACTGTTGTATCGTTATATAATCGAAATTGAGTTTTGTGAATCAGTGATTTTTCAATCAGTCAAAAGATTCCAGTGTATAAATTAAGTGTAAAATATTCTATTGATTTTTTTCTTTATTAAGACAATGAAGTATTTTATGATAAACGAGACACTTCCAATAATTCCATCCAATGTATAAACAGAGATTAGAGTAATCAGATAAACATACAGAGATCATGGGTTTTATGTTCACCTTACTTTAAATAGGCTTATTGAAATTTATCAATAGATACATTTATTTCATTTGGTTTTCATGCATGGTGTTATTTCAATGAAAAGCTTAAATAACCTATTCGTTAAGAACTCAGAGAAATATAATACAATCTGCAAATTTTTGTCGTTTTCTTCTTATTAACACACAACATCTTTTACTATCATATGAAGTTATATTGAAGCTACTTGGTTTAATGGTGTAAAACTTTAAAATATATATCATAAATGTTCTGGCTCTTTACGAACAATTTCTGAAGAATTCATCTAACTTTGGGAATAATATAGGTGTATATCGTTTACGTTTGCCACAAAAATTGGATACTCTTCAAGTTATTACGATACTACATTAGAAAAATGTACTTAGCAATCAATTAGAATAACTTTCAAGTAATTTATTTAATAACAAAATCATTACCATTATTAATTACTTAACCATTTTAAGAACATTAATTCGTGGAAATTTGATTGTTTGCCTACACAACATCAGCACACAATTCAAAAGACTTATTTACTACTAAATGAGAGAAAATTGCTAGTGAATTAAATTGTTTGGGAACTCCAAAAGCAACCATATGATCAAAGAAAGATTAAATTGAAAGACATACTGTTGAAACTATCAAATTTGTCAAGCAATAGTAGGAAATTAAGAGCATGACTCATAAAAGTACATGTAAAAATCACACTTCAAAAAAATAGGAGATAAATTTTTTTATGACAAAATGATTTTTTGTATACTATACTGTCCAAAATTTTTTAATTAGTAATCTTCTGGCATCTTTCTGACATCGATCTGAAATACCAGAATTTGGTACAATGTTTCTATCAACACTACTTTATATTAAGACAGTTATGTTATTTCCGTATAGTTCTTTACAAGTAACTTTCCCTATTTTGATTTCCAAGAACATCCCAGATGGAGCTAGGGGCAGAACTAGTTTTTTTCACTAACGAGTTCTATAATTTACTTCGCAGACTGATATCAGTTAAGCGATAAATAAATACCAGAAAACTCTGGATAGCTGTTTTGTTCTAGCTAAAAAATCTTCGGAAGTACTTGGCTATTACCACACCGAGGATAAAATCCAGAATTATCAGTCCTTAACGATCTAAACAAACCCCTTATATTAACAGTAATCTTTTGCTAGCTAGTATCTAACTTCGAGACACAACTGCCGTAGTTGCATTAAGAAGCTGTAACCAGTAGATTTCAATTATATCGGATGTGAGGCAGTTGCCCGACGAAGTCTATAGAAGATGGTAAGTTAATCTCGAGAACTGATTGAAGTTGTACATGCAAAACAATCAACGTGGGCTCGTTGGATTAAATATGAAGCGTTCGTCATGTGAACTGAAGGACGTAGATTCGATCGACAAAGAAGCAGTGGTTGCGCGCTTCTAACAAGCACAATACTAAGACAAAACAGCTGTCAAGTACTTCCTAATATATAAAAGTCATGAGACCCAGGTCAGCCTGCGATGTAGTCTATCGCACATAAATAAATGAAAATTTAATGATTCCCACAAGCTTCAATCCCAGATTTTATTAAAGGCCAATTTGAAATTGGACGTAAAGCTCGAGGGTTTATCCATTGATGACAAACAACTCTTAATACAAATTTTATGAAAAAAGACAAGCTTATAAAAAGCTGATAGGTCTCTAGCATTTAATAGTTTAATCGCTGTAATATAAAGATAGTAAATGATTAAGACGATAACATTTATAACTTTCTCATTTATCCAGTGATAACTCACTTGAACTGCATGAAAAATCAAGCGCTGATTTCTTGCACAATCTGACTGACCTAATGATTGTAGATGATCCATACACGACACACGTAAATTCGTGAATAAATCATTATATCGGCTAACCAAAGGAGAAAGCCAACCTTGAAGAAGGCTTGTAACATTTTTATCTTCAACAAATTTTACCAGATGATCATTAGAAATGAAAGAATTATCACTTTCCTGAGGATAAACATTATCATCACTAAAATTGGTAAATTGAAATTTGAAAATCTTTTATTTATGTAGGAAATTATTTTATAAACATTTACTTAATTTGATGATATTATATAAAAATACATCAATGTGTACTGAATATTCATAATACTTATCTAATCTAAGAGCAATTTCTTTATTAAATGACTACCTTGAAAGTAAATTTTTCAATAACTTGTCTGTTAATAGTTGTTTTCTTCTAGAAAAAGATCCATTTTTTATAAAAATAAGAAGATCATGAAATCAGTCTTTGTAAAAGATACTGATATATGCATATAAAGATAAAATGTTCGAAAAAGAAAGAAATTTTATGCTAACGTTATTATCACAACTTTAATATCGTCAGAAAAGTGGATAATGAAGAAGTAAATATATATTAAGTGTTTATTATCAGTCTATTTACCGTTAAATTGGTACGTATTTACTCATCTGGATTTATATTTGGTGCATCAGATAGTAGATAATTTTGCTGAAATCTATTTGTATAACGATATTAAACAATAGTTGGATTAAATTTCAAGTCACCATCAAATAAGCCTACACAATTTTTTTTTACTTCATTGTCTTAATAAATAGGTAAATGATATTATTAGACGAAAAATCTTACAAATGTAGATTTTACTTTATTTTATTACTTTTGAATTAAACCTAATGATTCAAAAACATGATACAATGGTGATGATACATAAATTTTCAAGTCGGTGTTGTTCTCTGCATAATTTAGCTTTACAATACTAACGATGCTGTTATCCTGTCGATTATTTCATCCTCTCTCTCTTTCACTGTGTTGATGAAAAATTTAGAGAAACCTGCCCCAGTGATATACTTGTGCTAAGTCCTACACTATTTATAACTGGTTAACTATTGCTATACGACTGAAGGCTAATGAAATAGATTTAAATTTTCTGCTTAAATTATTTTTAAATTTTATCTAACTGTTACTATTAACATGTCTTCATCCCTCCATTATGCGGATATATTTTGCAATAGATTTTTTTCTTTGTTTTTAATCCATCGATCATTCATATTTGTTTTGTATTTAATTATTCAAATTACAAACAAAATCTTCCAGACTGAGAAAATATCGTTACAAAATAATTCACAAGATTTGTGGTATTCAACTGTAAAAATACGCCGAGAAAATAAATCGGACAATAAGGGAAGTACTTGAAATGATAGGCGATAAGCATTCTCATTGGTCTACTGACATGAACAGTATTTCGAAAAAACAATGTTTAATATGATGATTTAAAATGTTGATTTCACAACATAAGAGTGTTCATTTTGGGAGCTGTCTAATAATTCAACTGTACATTTAATTTACCTCGAGTCTTCTTGTATCATTTAAACAATCATTTGTCACTGATAACATTCCCAATCGCCAAATTGAAAGACACAACACGGCCGATGACACCAAGGCCCTAAAATCATCTTCCATCACGACATGTATTTTTACACTTTTTGAGTGGTTAGTTTACACACTGTAACTGTAGTTTACAACTGAAAAAAGTGTTTTTATAACTAGAATGATCCACCTCCTACCGTAATTACAATTTCAGATGTTTGGTCTTCTTACATGTCATAATCACAACTAGTAGGCCACTTTTATAAAACACAAAAAATGTAAGTTGAACTTCTTAGAGCATATTCATAAAGAATAGAACAAGGTTTTTCTTACCATTGTTCATTTACTTGTTTAGTAAGATTATATTCAGATACAGGAGAAGCCACTATACTTTCAGCATCTGCCATAGCTCTGGGTCGCTTTTGAGTAAAGTAAGTTGATTTATTTTCTATGTTGGGTTGAATAAATTCCATACTTTGAGCTTTTAGTTGATTAGCTAATCTATCACATTGAATTTGACTTTGTATTAAGCTTTACATTTCATCGCAAAACAAAAAATTTAACCATACTATTAAATACAAAATAAATTAGTTGAAATATATACATATTATTTTCAAAACATAATAAGAAGAAATAGCCGAACAAACTTTGTACACATAAATTAAATTATTTAAATATATCAGAATAACTCACCGTTCTAAAATCTCATTTTCCAAACTTGGCGAGCCTTTCGAATAATCCAATTTATTACTATAATCTTTTGTCGTTGTATGTATGTTGGTATATGGATGTAAGTTCCTCTGATTTTGAGAGGAGTTATTTTCTGCAACCATTACCGGTGAGCGATAAGACTTTTTAATTGTTTCCTCAACAGAGGTTTCAGGGAATACTTTGTTACTTTCTGTACAAAGGCTACCTAAACATTTTATAATAAATACGTATTGATGTAAGATGTTTCGATGAGATATTTTGTTCAGTCACTATTAATATATCAAGATTGTTATTTTAGTTGCTTCTTTAGCAAAACCAACGAGTAATCCAGTTGCCATACTTAATAAATATTTTTCAAAATAGCCAGGTTTCGATTAGGCTTACAACCATAAAAAATTCTTCAAGATAAATAGCTTTCTACATATTCAAAATGGGTGCTGACCCTTTTGGTTTTAAAAGACAATGATGGCTGAAGACGGTCATTAATTAATTGTGGTCACACACCATCGCAACCCATATAGGACACTTTCTTTCCTAAAGAACAAGTCTATCAATCTCACATCAGACCATTTATGTATTCGCTCAAATATGTCGTTCCTCGCAGCTCTTGTGAGTCAGTCAGCTACAAAGTAGGATTAGGTACATATATGCATCAGTCCAAGTTGCTATACTTCATTGGTGACTTCAAACACTGATGCCACCTTTTGCTTTGCTCTCCCCCCCCTAACTTTCTTCCAACCATTCCCAATACTAGTCAGTACTGCGCCTCAGCCCTTGTCGTCTACTTTGTTATTCCTCAAGTTATGGTAGTTGAGGTGTTTTAATACTAGAATTTTCAAGCTTTACTGTATCTAGAGTTTCTTCGAAATTGCTCTTTCACACGCCGTAGCCATCTCTAAGTATATACTTACGACACTGTTATAATAGCTCGTTTAACTTGATTGCGCTTATAATATTATTATTTCACCCTCCGGTTTTTGTCGTTAATCTGTTCGATACCCAATACCTATTAAACCAGGCAACAAATCAATGAAAAACCTGGTTCTCTTAAATTTACGTGTTATAAAGTAAGTTTGAAGAGCATAACTGTCTAAAATCAGATTATTAGCAAACATTAAGCAAGTAGAAATAGGAATAAACCCAATCATACATCACTAGTTATCATGTATGTTATAACAAGCACGCCCAAGGTAATCATTTGACTTGTGAAGATTTCCCCAACTAGCAACTAATAACTTAATAACGTTGTCTCCCATCTCAGGACACATACTACGAATCATTTTGAGCTTGTAGCGTCGTGCTCGTACGGCGAGGTATCCAATTCTGTAGCGTCGTGCTCGTACGGCGGGGCCTCCAATTCTATTGTGGCGTCGTGCTCGTACGGCAAGGTATCCAATTATGTTGTCAGCGTAAATCTGATTCTGTCTATACTCGTATATAATAAATGACTTTATTCCGCGTTGGTGAACAATGGAGTTAAATAAGTCAAATACGAGAATGGAATCAGGATACATATATTTTCTACAGTCATTGATCTGGCCAGAGAATCAGAGTGATGAAACAAATAAAAGCAGACGAAGCGAAAATGACATGCAGTGGAGATGGTTGGGAAGCCAACTCGAGAGCGAAGCGAGAACAATGCTTATTGGAGATGGCTGGGAAGCCAACTCGATTTAAGCAAGCGTTAATCAACATTTATAGTCGGACAAAAATGAGTGACAGACATACGATGAATAAGATACAAAGTGTACACATATATACTCATATAGAAGTATAGTCAAGGTTAATAAGCAAATGATTAACAAGATCAAAATATGACTCATGACAGGCGAATCGGCTTGGCCAGCAACTAGAATAAAGTATATGGGTTTAACATATAAACCGATACTACAAGCTACCCATTTTTAAACACACTGATTCAATTTCCATTGTTAGTTAAATTTAAAAATCCATCCCTCACCCAGACAGAAAACAGTGAGCTAAAGAGTAATTCAAAAAGGCCTCAACTAAGTTTATTCTGGGAAACATAAAGCTGCCATGTAAAAGTAGACTACCTTATCTTAATTCATTCTCCTTATAATATGGAAAGACTAGAGGTGATGTCATCATAGAGTTTGAGTTGCTTATAGTAATTTTTGTGCTTTGGCCACATTTTTCTTGTTTTCAAATAAAGACTTTATAAAGACACTTTCAAATCGTTTTCAACCCGAAATCAAGTACCTGTCATCGAACTACCAAATCATCAACTAGTGAAACTTCTTACCTCAAAACAAGCTTAAACCTCTATTTCTCGACGCATTCGGACGAAATCTATATAACACTGGAGGTGCGTATTACTAAAACCAACTCATTTCATCCAGTTTATTGTTCTTCTCGAAATAAAATCGTATTAAAGTGGCTCAAAATATTTCAGAATTCCGAAGAATAACCAAGCTAAAGAATACATGATTTGGAAGTTAAAGAGCATCTTGTTGAAATATATAACGGTAACGACCTGTGAAGAGTGTTTAGAAATGTTTAGTTATACCTTTTAAACTTCAGAGCACTCTGATCATGGGAACCCACTCGCATTTGCTGACATTTTAGATTAGTTTCGAAAAATTCAAATACGTCACTGAAATTTCAGCATGAATGAAGGCAAACATCGGTGCACAAATGATGCTGAATTCTTAGTAATGTGCCAAATGCCTTCAATGAAATTTATCATACTATCCAACATGTGAATTAAAATATTCATAATATATAATTTCATGATTATACAGAAGTTTGATTGGTCTTAGAACTGGCACTTATACCAGAAATTACAATACTCAGGAGTTGTCTGAACCCTTGATGTGTGTCACTTATGTATAATATCCAGGTACAACATGTATTACACTGGCTTCATAGAAGATAATTAAAAAGAGTATAGAAATCAAACGGATATCAAACGGATAAGGTATTCATCCATGTTGCTCACTAGTTATAATGCAGGAAAAACAAGCTAACCTTGTGTCACGAACAATCTTAAAATTTTGAACAATTCATGCTGCAAACTAGCATTAGCTTCAATGAGCTCACAACAGACCGTAGTATTATCAGTAAGACTATTCATCTGTTACAGTATATTAGAAGAGTTACAAATTACTTTAGATTCTTTTTCCCAACTTCTAAATCTCTCGAAAATGCGAAAAGACGGCTCTATTTGAGCGCATATCAATTCATGAGCAATCATTGTCGATAACCAATATGTTTAATCGAAACATTCATGAATGAATTTCGCCTTCAGATTACTGCGTATAAACAACATATTTAATTCCAATGTCTAATATGTATTTTTGGTGAGTGTACGTGAACACGATGAATAATCCTCCTTTTTCATTTCTTACACAGTAACGGTTTGAAGGCACTGATAACACATAGTAGATGAATCTAGTTACTAGAGTCCCATGGGATTCAGCAGATAATATATTTGTATTCCAACTTAAGGTTAGGCCAATGTCACCCGAACGCACTGTAGTCACTGGTATCAGCTTCTTTCTCGACACCCAATGTTTATTCTCTAGTGGAGGTAAATACATCCCCGAAATCAATAGCTCTGTAAATCTTCGACATTGGATGCTGACCACATTAGTTCTATTGGACTCACCTAGCCGAAGGCGCACGGTCTTGCATCCGCACCAGATCACTACTGCGCTAAACTTCTCCTGCAATCTCTAGCCAGCTTAGATTAGTCACTTGTCGAGAAATTGATAACCTGTCAAATATATAATCGAACCTCCTCGCTTCTGACTTTTGTTTTCACTGGATGGGCACAAGTCAATTATAGGTGTTATTGGTTGAAGTGTTGTCAAACTAGAGATACTTTTGGCGTCTTCACTCTCACTTATGCTGAGCATTAAATAAGGGTTTCGTTAGGAACAAAAATAGTTTTAAGACGGTAGAATAGAGGAAGATGGGAAGGTGGAAAGTGTAACAGCGCCTGACGAAAATCAAAATTCTTAGCAACATATTTTTTTTATATGAACGCCCCATATTGTTCTGAACTGATGTTCAGGTTATTTATGTCAAAGTATACTCAGGTGACGATCTATCAGGATATGGGAGGGACGATAAACGTTCAGTCTACTGAGATTCAAGTGCTTGGCAAATGAACAGCGACATTTTCACTTTAAAATTTGAGCTCTTTTCTTCCATTTATTTCTTCAAATAACATGAGACATTACTGAAGTCTTGAGAGACTGTTAAAAGGTTTGGTTCACTCGAAGCCTCCAACCGTTTCATTTCAACGACTTTGAACGGTCTGATATGACGCTGTTACTCTATATTCCAATTGCTGGCTTGCATGCATTTTAGGTGCTCTCACATTTAAGTGGTCTGTTTCTGCAGAAAAATCAAAAAACCATTGTAAAAGTCATTAGCTTACCTTTCTTTGTTTCGTAGTTTACACTTTGGTTCGATTGTCACTTCGCAACTTGATCTCGGATTCTGATTTCGCCGATTTTGTTTACGACTTAATAAGGTTTAAAAAACAATGTATTAAGAATATGAATAACTTAAAAGATCCAGATACTTGCATTTTGTGTAAATCACTATTTTATGAGATTTAAATGTGTTTGTGGCGTTTCAGTGCACACTTGGTCAAAAGCGTAAACCACAGGGTTTAGCAGTGAGTTGAAAACCGAAAGAACTTATAAAGGAGATACAAGCACTCGCTAGTGAAACTGCCGAACATTTGTGATATACAGGTTTCCTTGCCGTCTTATGCTTCTGACACGCATAAGAAGACGAACACTTACAGGAAGGCTCATTCAATTACAAAGTGTAAAACACATAGCTAGTCATACTCTTGGACAGTGAAGTCAATAGGAGATAGCTAACACACATACATTCCATAATAACACAACACTTTGGTCCCCAGGCGAAGCAAAGAGTGTGTTTATGTCCAACGAAGCCAGTAGATTCGCAAACAACAGATTGTGGGTAAACATGGTGAGTGGTTGGAGGTGATAGTGGAATGAAAAGTTGACAGTTATTACCTAAGAATCATTTGTAACAGGATATGACCCCAGTTTATCCAGCGTTTATTTTCGTGTAGTCTGATGTATGATAAAATGTGTGTCTCAGAATATAATAAAATGTATGGGTGTGACAGGAGCTGTTTAACATAAGAAATTCTTTGTGGTTGTATTTTTAAATTATATATATAACATGTAAAGTGATTTTTCTGCCCCAAATGTTATTCTTCCTTTACCAGTAGTAATAATGCATCAACAAACTTCCACAATTTCAAATCTCATATTCATTCCAGTTTCGTGGGGAAGTAAACCGACAAACAACTAAAAATAACTAAATGTTTCGTTGTAAGAACTGGTAAGTACTGTATCAGTCTAGAAGTTTCGTCAAAACGTCGTGTTGTATCTATAAGTTTTTTCACCATGACAGTATATTCGGGTGATTACTAGCAAAATACGAACTTTCAAAAAGCCTTTCCGCGGTCCGAGACGCCATGAACTCTTCACCTGTAGTATTTTCTTACAAAAGAATCTAAGGATTGTGTGTACTTTTCACACTGAAATTTAAATAATTCACTAAGTGAATAAAAGTCGAAGTGGTCAATATTAAACACAGTTTTCATCAACCCGTGAGTTGTCCGTCCACATAAGTTTCCATATGCAGAAATTCGTTAGGTTGTTCATTGCTTTAGGCTTGAATGTAAGAAGAGTTTTAGCTTTTCAATTCGCTGACAGGAGCCACCTGTTGCATATCGGTAAACATATGGATGGCTGTGATAGTTTGAAGTGTTTGAATTACAGCACAGACAAGCAATCCCAGAAACAACGCAATTCAACCAAGTATTAGATGAGCACGAACGAAAGTATTGTATCTGGAATTCAAAATCAAAACAGTCATCAATACGAAGAATTCATTGATTCATATAAACACCACGTTCGCCCCAGCGTAAATCAAAGTGTAAGTGTCTGTAATTGATTGTACGTCTTCTACTTAAGTTCATCTTACATCTGTACAACAATGTACTGGATGTAGACCCTGTATTATTAAGAATGCACTCGTTAGTATTAGAATTAACAACCGAAATTGGAACAGGCTCACCTGATTCTTGGAATTGTACACAATCATCATGTCAGTTGTGCGGTGAAACCACTGATATCTAGCATTTGAATAATAAGCTTTCCAAAACTATCCTCTCCCATAAAATAATGTTGGGTCCTTAAGTCTCAATGTTATAACCAACTTGACGTTCGTAATTTGCATTATCTTCTTATATCTCACACTTCGATTACTGTATGTGAGTATATGGGGATACACATTGATGTATAATTTGAAGTATTCCATCATATGACTTTGACTTGCATAAAAATTATGATACATATCCTTTTTGTTATTTATATTACAATACACAGATAAATATGCATTGATATGTGTGATTAACAGATGTGATACATCCAGGCTTGATTCACCTGAGAAACAATCCAATGGGAAACATGCATCTGCCTCATACTCATTAGGATAACCTTAGACCTGATTTGGATTCTCTGCCTGTGCAAACTCCATATCTGGGCAAACTTGTTCTCTGATTGCTTCAAGAAAATTTGCTATTCCATCCTAGTCATAACACTGACTAGAGATTTTACTTAACAAAAATTGTTCATCAGAATATCCAACATTTGATACAATAACATCAGAAATATGACTAGAATTCGACTCATTCAGAACACATTTGTCACATTCATTAGGAATATCACTAGAGATAAATTCATTGTGAGGACCACTGACACTTGTTATGATGTCAGAATTTGATTTTTTTTAATATTTCCCTCAAATTGATCAAGAGTTTTATTAGAGAATAATGGATCATTGGAAAAATCAGCATCTACCAAAACTGAATCTGGTTTTTGATCATGATTTGACTGATCCAACATTTTATTCTCAGGGTTGTAAGGAATTTCATCAGGAATGTGTGGATTATTACGACAAACCATATCAGGTACAATAACACGAGAAATCCGATAAGAAGTTGGTTGATTAGAAACTTTTGTCTCACAATGATTCTGGATTTCATCCAACTCTGGAATGCTATGTGACGTCATATCGCTTCTCGAAGTTTTGGATAAAGATAAGTGATCGTTAGAAACATTCAACTTAGTAAAATCACAAATTTTAGCATTAGTTTCGGTGAAATGAACCATGGTATTACAAACTGACTTAATGTGTCCTGTTTTACTACATTCAAAGAATTTAGAATTATGAAATACATATGAATTACATGGATGAAAATTTCAGCAGAACAAGCATTTGCCAAACTTGTGCTTATCTTCGTGATCTGTTTCACAATTTAATGGATTGTTATCTGAATAACCTTCATTACGCAGCGGACTACAACTTAGTAAAGTAATGGAATTCGTGATGTTCATTTCATCAAATTGTTCTCCCTTACCTCATTTGAAATTTGTATACCTTACATGGTCTAGTAGTAGTTGCTTGAGAGTTGCATAAGGGAGTGAAATCGGCTTGTCTGGAAGGCCAAAGTCTTCATTAAGCTGTATGCTTCTATTCCGATGAATGTAAGGAAATGGCCACGATATTAAAATCCTCAATATCATCCTTGGTCATAGCCCAGATTTCGAACCCCTCCATGTAATCCTCAAAAGCATTAACATCTAAATTTTTACTCAACCGTTCAATCACAGACTTTATTGTGACGTCAATGTGATTATTCAAGGTATTTGAATTATAGTATAAAGTAGTAATCCCAGAAATAACGCAATTTAACCAAGAATTATTAGATGAGCACGAACGAATGTATTTTGTGTAGAATTCGAAATCAAGTAGTCATCAATACAAGAAAATCATTGATTCATATAAACACCACAGGCACTCAACGTTAAATATTGCCTATAAAATTTTTCTTCTTCAGATTAGTTACATATTAATATGTAGGTTCCGTCAAAAACGATGATACTAACAATTGTTAGATTTGTTTATGTTTGTATATTGGGGACCTATGTAATATCCAAAAATAGTCTGACAAAGAATTGCCTCAACCTGCATTCCCTAAACAACTACCAGAAATCCTTGTTCATCAACATCCTCTAGGATGTTAAATCAAATGTTTAAGGTTTTTAGAGCTCATTTTCGTCTAAAAAATCTGACTACAGTCTCTCTCTGATCTCATAAATCCTGCATCTCACCTGTTTGAGTTCAGATTGATACAAATAACCACATTGAAGTTGACCTAACATTCTTTCAGGTAGTGAACAACAACTA